TATATATATATATATATATATATATATATATATATATATATATATATATATATATATAATGTTTTGATTTAATAACTAATTTGTGATGGCTGATAAAGTAACTTTGTTAGCCTTCTCATTAGTGTATTTACATTGAGAAATGTACTCGTTGTAGTCAAAATTTGGTCAAACTTCTAGAAAGGGAGTTGTGGATGATGATGATGATAATTAATACCTCAGTGAAGATGGGAAATGAATGAATGACGTTATCCAAAACTCTTGTTGGGAATAGATCAACTATTTCACTCTTAGTTTGATTAATTTGATCCGACCCGATCCAATTAGGAAATTTGGGTCGGGTTTGTATCTCAACCCAACCTGCGTCGGGTTAAGAATTCGGCTCACATGGGACGTGACCAGCGAACGCCTCCAGCGCACACCGCCACGCCATTTGCTCGCGCCCGCCACGGGATGCACACGCTCGCAACGTGACTATATCGTACTGACTCAGCTCTCCACACGCCCTCCCTCATCTTAAATCTAAGCACCTCAAAGGTCGTCGTCTTCCAAGTTCCCCTATCATGGTAGCCCTCTATTCCCCCCACCACATTTTCCCCATGGGGTGGCAGCCGGAAGACATCACGGCCCATGTTCTCCACTACGAGGACCCCTTCGCATGCTACCCCTACATGGAGGAGCTGGAGATCGGCCATGACGACCTCCTCCGACACTGCTCCGTCCTCGCCGCCAAGGACGACTCCTCGAGCTCCACCAAGAAGCTGTGCCACAACGCCTACGAGCGCGACCGCCGGAAGAAGCTCAACGACTTGTACTCCTCCCTTCGTGATCTCCTTCCCGAGTCGGACCAAGCTGTAACCCTCTCTCTCTCTCTCTGTACTTGGCTGGAAACTACGTGTGTTAACTTTGATGGGTCATGTAGAGGAAGAAGAAGAAGAAGCTGAGCATCCCATTGATCGTTTGCCGGGTCTTGAAGTACGTACCGGAGCTGCAAAGGCAGGTCGAGAGGCTGTCGCGGAGGAAGGAAGAGATCTTGCTGGCGTTGTCGAGGCCAGAAGAGCAAAGCCACTGTGTTCGAAGTGCGGTGCAGTATCCCATGGTTTCAGCAACCTGTTTGAGTAAGAGAGAAGTCATGGTGCAATTATGTGTGGTAAACAAAGATGCCACCTTCTCCTTCTCAAAGATCCTCAAAGTTTTAGAGAGAGAGGGACTTCATCTTATGAATTCATCAAATTACACCACCTGTGACGGCAGATGTGTCTGCAGCCTCCACCTTCAGGTCTCTTCTACTTTGCTCAATGATTGGGTTCAATCACTTTAGCTTGACATGCTAATGATCTCTTGTATCTTCTTCTTCTTCCTCTTTCTCGATGTATATTATCACTTGGACAGGCAAGAGAAGACTTCAGATCGGAATGCAGAATCTTCTGTGAGCATCTCATGGAAGAAATCAAAGAGCAAGCAAGACATGGCTCCAATCTTCCTCGTAGCTTGTGGATGTAATAGTTCTTCTTCGTACAAGATGTTATCATATGAAAATGTTTGTGTACCACATCTAATCATGCTAAAATCAGTTCTATACTATGTTGATTGCAAATCTTGTTTCTGCAGCATTGCATAGAACAAAGTCACAAACACCATTGATCTATTTCTTTTCCTCTTATTTGAGAAAGAAAATTGTTTTCAACTTGAAACAAAGGTCGATCTCATTCATTTTTTTTACATTAAAAACAACGAAGGTCACCAAAATGATGATTTATAGGTGTCAAATTCTATGCAATTGGCACGGATTTTGATCTCAAGATCTTGTCATGAACAATCGACATTTACCCGTCAAGCTAATAAAAATCTTTCAAAAAATTTCCTGGATGAATACATAGATTTATCGGACAAGATTTCAAGCACTTAACTTTGTTAATTACGTTTGAGACTTATAAAAAACAATCTAATCATCATTAATGGAACATAAAAAATTATCATTATTTTAGGAGTATCACTCCATTAATCAATTAGCACAATGCTAAATTTCTTACAGACATTGACCAAACCTTTAGTCTCAATTTAATGTTTCACCTAAATGTATCTAAAATCCACGGTTAAAAAACAACCCCAACTTTAATTAACATGGAGTTATTATACCCAAATATTCCCCCTTAATAGGAATATAAATCCAGTGTTCTTTATTGGTTCGTCTATCTTTCGATTTCAATTGCTTTGATCAAGAATAGTATACTTTAAGATTAGGGCTTCGGTGTGATACAAGGCAGCCGACGTGTGTTTCCACGAGTGCCCGACGCTGCAGCGCATGAACAGCCCGCTGCTCCACGTGCTTGCCGTGCATGGGCACGTGCGCCACGTGGCTTGCTCGTGATGAGGTAAGATGAACGCATCAACGGTCGATGGAGGGCTGATGTCAACTCACCCATCCCACTCACATATGATGCGTCCATCTGATTTCCACGTCAATCGATGACAAAGATTGATTATATATATATATATTACATTAAGCTTTAAAACTAGATTCTTAAAGTACAAGTCAAATCTGATCTTATAACAACAAACATGACAATTTAATCATAAAGATATCTATGTTCTCACATTATTTTTAGTTTAATGTTGACTACAAACTGTTTTGAATAAAAGAAATGTTTTCGTGAGAGCCCAGACATGCAGGAGGAGATGGATGAAAGGATTGGGTGGCTGAAGTGCTGACACCAATAACGTCGAAGGAACAAGACACATATATGTACCAAAGTTGTCAAAGAAGTGAGGAAAAAATGGTGACACAATATCGGGGGAGTAAGAAAATGTGTGTAGATAGCGATGTTGCTGATGTATATGCGCAAGTTGGTGTACACAGTAGAGCAAGTGGCTTGGAGATGCGACGGAGCAGTGACGATGGGCCCTCTAGAAGAAAGGACACGGACAAGATAAGAACGAATGACTTGTTTTTATTTATTTATTCTATCTTTTTTTCTTCTTTCTTTCATATGTTAGTATTATAATAACATGCTCACTAAATTTAAGTGTATTATATCAATAATTAATTTTATGAAGACAAGAACTCAAGCCACTATGATGTCCCTATGTAGCAGAAATCCTTCTTGAAGAGCTTCTACTGAGCCTTAAGTAGATGAACACAATTTTGATGGTGGAGGAGAGATACATGGGATAGATGATGATGTTTTTGTTTTTTGTTTTACTTTTCTCTCACTTTGAATACAGGAAATGCTAAAAGGAAACACTGATAATAAGTATCATTATTAGATTGGATCTGTCAAACCAGCTCAAAGAAACAGCCAAGAAATGGCATGAACTCCGAAAACACAGTTACACTGAACTGTTGAGGGCAAAAGCAACATATCTTTCACTAGCAATGATATAAGAACCACAAAAAGAGAGCTTCACTGTCATTTGATCGATAAAGTGCAGCACCCATCAGGTGCAACAGAAGCACTATTCCTTCAAAAGCTGTGATCATTTTATCACATCATGTCAAACCAAAGATCCAAGGATCACAAATTCATGCAACTAAGGCCTTCGTTAACTATCGGACACCAACATAAAGTAAAGATGAGGAGTAGCGAAAAGAGAAATAACTACTGCATAAAGTATAAAGTATTTGATAGAAGATTATGATAGAGATACACCTAGAACATCTTTGTTTTCTCGTATCCTTAATCAATTAATGATTTAAGGATTAATCTATTATTGATTGAGAAATTTTTTTATCTCAAAACCTATATAAATATTCATCATCTGAATGAATAAAATTCATCCCTTCCATAATATATTTTTCAATTCTATATGGTATCAAAGCCCATCTTGTCTCTGAATAAGACTTTTCCTTCCTTAATGTCCGGCAACAACAATCCCTCTTCCCACTTGATTTACTGATCCCTTCTCTCTATCAATCGATATTGCTTACACGCAAAGATCCCCTGGCGCTGTCTCTTCTCCGATAACTATTCTGCCCTTCATCGATGCTACTCACAGATTTGCAATCATTAATGCAATGTTCCTATGCTTTAATTAGATCGATAGATTTGATTAGTCTTTTGATAACGTTTATCTGAGCTATTGACTCCGATAATCATTCCCCTGCTTCTCCTCAACGACCATCTACCTTCTACTTTTTATCGATTAGATTTGCTGTTGATTTCCTCTTCTACTAAGCGGTCTTCGCCGACCAATCTCATATCCATACTTCTGATCAACTAGCGGACTCTCATATTTCAATTATATTAATTCAAGATTGATATTCTTAGCAGAAGCTCAATCTTACGGGGGCATGATAAAATATCATGATATAAACATATGGAACAACATCCTTGCTTCCTCGTATCTTTAATCAATCTATAATTTAAGGATCAATCATAAATTCGAATAGATAATCTGATTGCATAATTTGAGTGATTGATTAAGAAACATCTCTCCCTTAAAATCTGTATAAATACTCATTATCTCAATGAATAAAATTCTATCTATTTCACAACATATTCCTCAATTCTTCATCATTCACTCTTTTATCAAACTGAGAGGCTCTAAAAGTCACTTGTATAACAGCAAAGCATGGTAATACGTCAGATTCATATGGCACATACTAGTCATCTTGTTTTTTCTTTTTATGTAGATTCTCATTTGGAAATTCCCATCAAAATCTATCTTCATAACTCTTTTAACTTTCTGGACGTCCTATTTTGTTCTGCAGCATCATCATCATTCAGCTCAAGCAGAACCTCTTCTTGTTGTTGCTCCTCCAACTAGTGTTTCTCACTTTCTTGTTCTTTTCGGTTGCTGGGTCAGTAGTCTCATTTCGATCGGCAACAACTTCAAGAGGTTTATCCTTTGCCATGAGTTCACCATCGACATTCACACCTTTAGATTTCTTCTTCTCATTTTTCTTTACAGAAGTTTCATCTTTCTGCTGTCCATCTGCATGCATTCACAGAAAATAAGTAATTCTGATAGCATCAAGCAAACCAAGCAGCAACTCTACTAAAATGGGCCAACTGCATTTAATCAGCAAATCAAAGACCAATCAATCCCAAACACAAACACAACCGTAGAGCTGAGACAACCCAATTCAGAAAACTGGGACTGTGGACCCCAACTCATAATAAATATTAGATTCATGAGCAACTTTACCAAGTATTTTCACATTACAAAGGAAACTAATGTACATTTACAGTGAAATTCTGCTTTTACATGATGGAGCACCTGCTTGTCAGGAAGCACACTAATGCAATAATAAATACTCAACAGCATTCTCCTGGGAAACCTTGTTTATTAAGCTCTAAACGGCAGTCTATCACATTGATACTTCCCTGAGTTGCAACACCATTGTCATCAAAGAGTCTCTCTTCGACCTATTCATGAAGAGTTTGTTCAAAAACAGAGGCATTCACCTCTGGAAGTATTTTCTTGCTGTTAGACTAACGATAGCTTCAAAACATATTCTACCACTTAAGACTTAACAGAGTCATCAATACATATTCTACTACTTAAAGACTTACCAGGGTAGTCAATACGGGATGCAATGGAACACTTGTTTGCAAGATAACCAGCTATGCAAACCTAATTGATGTGGATGCTAAACCAAAAGAAGAATGGAATACTTTGAATCATTCCCTTAAGAGTTTTAAGGGCTCTCTGATATGAGTGTGGAACACTGATCATTTTCAACTGAAGAATTATGACCCACTTGTACACGTATTTAATATACATAACAATGAAAGATAAAATAATCATCTTCCCAACCAAACTTTGAAAAGTTCACTTGCTCAGAAGATTTTGCATAGACGTGACCAAGTAAAGTGACTTAAAACTGAACCACACAAGTTTTGGAGACTAATATAAGATAGGGAAGTTGGGAATTAGAAAAGAGAACTTGAACCAGAAATTCATTTTTGTAACAAGATACTGATAAAGATTTTCTTCCAATATTTGGAGACATTGTTAAACCTGTGAGGAAATTTTTGGATATTAATGAAATCATTTGGAGACAGATCCTGTCCTGCAAAGGCAAAACAATTATAGACTGAGGTCAATATATGAAAACTACAAAAGAAAATTTGTCTTATTTTATACCAATAGATGAACTGCTTCGACAGTTTCTTTTGCTTTTTCCTCATCACCAATTACTGCTCCAACAAAAAAGAAAAAGAAACAGACAACCATAATACCCTTCTAAAATAAGAAAAAAGATCAGCAAAAACAAAATTAAAGTTTCCATTTAAATAAATCAATTATAAATTACTGGCATGCTATATATTATAGACTAACTGAACTGCATTAGATTTCCTCAGCCTTTTGTCAAGAGGAGTTAATGAAATATTTAAAAAGTTCCAAAGAAAAATTGCTTGCAGCCATAGAATAATTAATGGAAAGGTTTCATGAAAGAATGACAATGAATCAAGAAGCTCATAAGAAAAGGTGCTCTAGAAAAATTCATCTTCATGATCTGCATCTGTTCAACTCCTTCGGAGCCAGAAACCTCAGGTACGCAGCCACAATGGCGTCTTTATGTGATACAGATAAGGGCACTGCATCTAAATCCTGAAAGAGCATTGGAATATAATAGGAATGTCAGTCAAAATGGTTTCAGCAACTCATACTCACTTCTTTTTGAAGGAAAAAAGTTTGATCAAATATCAATGCAGTCGACCAAAATGCTATAGCAAGGCACGCGTGGGAAGATAGGTTCTTCCCATCAAGATGGAAAAGATTTAAGGGATGTTTGGATCAATGCTCTTCGATCTTTCTCCGCCAGCGGGAAGAAGATCAGAGGACCAAGTCCGATAGCTACAATCGCGAGAACGAGAAACACCGTTACATCAAACCGGGACTTCACCTACAAGGAGAATACACCCTCGAATGAGAAGCAAGATCCAAACTTTGCGTCCTTAATGAACCGATCGAAGGAACTCCAGCACGAACTCATGACCTAGGGCAAGAAATCTCGATCACCTCAAACATCTGCGACCCAACCGCAAGCCTAAACTTCGCCTTCTTCCCTTCTTCACCTTGGGGAACGTTCATTCCCAGAAGTTCCTCGGCTCCTCAGCCATAAACCCTAAAGATCGCACCCCCAACGAAGAACCCTCTGCAACAATTTGTCATGTAATCGTGTTGATTACTTCGAGAAGATTAATCCGCTCATAATAGCATTCAAACTGCTCAGTTGCTGACGGTACATTGCGGCTTAACCATGACAAGCATAGAATAGTTTATCACCCACCTCACAGACCCGTATTCTCTACCAGCGAGGTTAATGGGAAGATGACGTGGCTGCTTTGGGCCCACAAAGGCTCCGTTTAAGTTTACGGTGGACTACGGAGGATTTGGTAATCGAAGTGTAGAATGGTGTGGTCGTCGTTTGGCCGGAGAAAAGATATTAAAAATATCGCCCAATCAGAAGCCGGTATTTGATAGACCCACCACCAAGAATGCGTCTCCAGATACGAGCCTCCACGTGGCAGGTCCAGAAACTTCCACTCAGCCCCTTTCTCTCTCTCTTCTCCTCGATCCCCCGCTCGCCTTCTACAAATCTCCCCAAAACACTACGCTTCGACCAACAGAGCAAGCCGCCTTCCGGTGTCTCCTCTCGTTTTCTCCGCCGCTAATTCCAGTCGGATTCGTCGGCAACCGATCGGAAGATCTATAATCAGCTTCGTCTACTTACTGCTCTTGTGCTTTCGAGATGCTTGATTCGAGCGGCGAACAAGAGCAGGTTCTCCTCCTCTTTTCCCTAATCGTACTTTTTCGTTCTTTCCCTGATATTTGACAGCAGCTCCACTTTGAATTGTTTTTGGTAACTATTTGACACAATGAAGTGTGATGATAATTTAACGCCATCACATCTGAACGCGGATTTCTTTGATCTCTTTTTCGGTTGACTGTAGTTGATTTTCGTAGATCACGATGAGTCTATCGTGGTAGAACAGTAGATGATATACAGGTTTTGATAAAAGAATCGAAGTAAAAGAAATTGTTCGAAATAAGATCTGTGAGAGATTGAAAGATTTTTAATCCAGAAATTCTAGTCATCTTGGTCAAGACACTTTCTGGAAGAAAACCGTGGAATCTCGTTTCCACACCCTAACAATGGAATAAAATGTTTTGGAGATGGTACTATTGTGAAGATTCAGCAAAAAAACAATGGGAAGTGAAGCTTTTTATAATTATAATGTTTTCCCTTCTTTCCAATTCGACTCAGATCATCCCTAGACTTCATGGAATTGTTTTGGCCTAAAACACCTTCTCTGGCTCTGGCTGAGGTGGAACATATTCTGTCAAATTGTATGACTCCAATAAAGCGCAGGACAAACAACTTGGACGAGGATAACATAAAGATGATTCTTGAAGCTGTATGTGAAAATTTCTAAGCTAGAAAGGACTCTTAATGATGATAGGACGAGAGGATATCAACTTAATGATTAGTTACGATAAAAGAAAATTTTTCTTTTTTAGAGAGAGAGAGAGAGAGAGCCTAAAGGTTCATCCTCAGGTGTTATCTTCACTTTCATCAATAAAGCTTGTTAAGATTAATAGCTTTAATAACTGAATTCTCTAGTTGAAGTGTGGCCCATAGAGTTCTGTTATGGAATATAAATTGAGGCTTTTTTACCCAATTAAGGACTCGATATACAGTCCCATGTTTGGAAGTTTAATCACCAAATATCACCACTGTAGTAGCTGATTTAAAAATTATGAACTAAAATGCTTAACACGCTAGTAATTTTCTGTATTTTTATTCACAAACTGGACTCTGTCAAATTTGATATGAAGAATATAAGAGCATACAGTGCTGTCCCTCTACTTTGGTAACAGTATTTTGACTTTTCAGGTAGACCATGAATTCTCAGGTGAAGTCAGTAATAATGAAGACCATCCACTTTGCCTCACGGATGTGCAAGAAAACACTTTGTTTGCCTTTAAAGATGACAGAATGAAAGGCAAGAACGAAGGCCTTGCTGGTGATGTGACTTCCAGGCCAATATCTGGATCTGAGAATGATTTTACTTGTCATTATATGGAAAACAAGTCCATTTCTGGTAGAGATGAGGCAATTTCCACTTCAAATCTTGACCTGGATGTATTGCCTGATTTCCCTACACTTTATGCATCATATAGCAGAGGGCAAATTGATGCCAGTGATCAGGACTCTCTGCAGACAGAGTTGATAAATGATTTTACAGATTCATCAAACCTAAATGCTGTGAGAGATTGTACAATGGAATTTCTTCCTTCTGATGCTATATCTAATGAAGATTCATTCATGGTGCATAAATCATATAGTTTCTCGACCAGAAGCACAGTGCAGCTAGATACTAAACCAAAAATATCTGCTAATGAGCGTGATGATAAAGCAAGTGATAGCCTTCTAGACTGTGATTGGGATAGTATTGAAGATTTTGATCTTGATGCAGTTTTCAGGTAACCTAAGGCACCTTTGTTTTGAACTTTGTTGTTAAAAAACTTTGGTTTCTGATATTACAAAGAATATGAGTGGCTGTACCAGCAAATCTGATAGTAAGTGTTTTTTATTGTTTGCTATATTTACTTCATCTACCTGAAAAAAGCAGAAGTGACTCAATCGATCACTTTTTTGGAGATGACATGATGGATGTTAGTGATGGATTATTTTCACCATCTGATCCTCTAATCAGTGGCATCACTGAGTTTGTTCCAGTGCCCGTAAGTCTTTATTGGTTCAGTTTGAGATAGAATATCACCATAGCATTTAGACTTCTATAAGCAATTATACAATCCAAAGCACATATTTATAAAATTAGTAATAATGGCATTTTGGTTCACACTTACAGGACGCAGCATTATGCAAGGAGGAACTTTCTGATAAAGAATTTTCTTCCCTTCGGTTAGATGAAGGATGTGATGCTAAAGGAAATGTCTCACAGAGAAGTCAGGTAGATATATATTTGTGAATAGAAATTTTATGTATTTTGTTGGTTCCTTTTGAAAACATTTCTTCATTATTACTTTGGCAGACAGCAGCTAGCACATGAAAGTTGACTAACCGTATGCTAAATCTGTCCCATTAGTGGATATTACATGCCACAACATCTGTTAGAAGATCTTTTGAAATTAATATTATTTCATTACAATAAACTATGTACAAGATGCTCTTACATGGACTTGAACCAGAGACCTTTGAACTGAGAAACAGGCTCTAACAAAAATGTCAGACAATGAAATTTTTAACACCACCATTTGTACATGATGTTCAATAGAAAAAAAAAACTTTCCTTTAAACAAATTGTTTCTCTGACATAGTACTACAAGAATGTGAGGACAACAAGAACTTCGAAAAATTGAAGATAAAAAGGGCAGTCCAGTGCATGATGCTCCTGCAAATGTAGAGTTGGGTAAGGCCAACATCCATGGCCTTACCCCTTCAAGTATAAAGGTTGTTTCCATGAGCAAATGATAATCATTATGTTAATTTCAATATTTTTGATTGTAATTCAAATGATAGATTAGTATATCTAATCATATGACCAAGTCCAACAACATGTAGAAAAGAATAGAATTCTCTTCAGAAGCATCAACAACATGTCGTTTGAGTATCCTAGTATTCTATCATATTGAAAGAATCAGAAACTTTGAAAAATTCTGTCATGTATTTGACAAGCAATTCAAAGTACGTGTATCTCATGGCTAGCTATACGAACCACTCAAAGATAGGTGCACAAGTGAGAGAGGAATGGGTGCATTTCTGTTTAACCCTAAAAAAGAACACAAAAGAATGAAACAGATTGGACTACCTGACACATACTGGACAGGGTAAAATTAGGAACCTTGCTTCTAATAACAAGTACTTCTATTGATTGGCTTTAACTATGGATGGATCACAGATTTTCATTCAGGTGGTATACCATTGGCATATTGGATTTCCATGTGCTTTACAAAACTAAATTTAGAGCACATCAATGGTAATATGTGTCAATATCAACTCCTTGTTCTGTAGTCCTATCTTAGCATTTGGCATCATCTGTACTAAATTAATCTTCTGGATTACTATTATCAAGAGTTACTGGATGTTATATTCAATCTGTGTTAAAAAGTACATTCATGACTAAGGCTGTTACCAAATCTACATGAGTAGGGGTTATGCTAAACATACACGTTGTTTAAGTGAAACTTGCCCACATATGCCTTAGACCACTAATTCAACCCATAAGTAGAACCAATGCATTTATGGAGATTAGCTGAGATGGCTTAAACATCACATGAAGCTGAATTACGTCCATGTTTAGATCCAGATTAGATATGAGAGTGAATCGGTACTGGTACATTATCAGTTGGGTGGTATGCCTGGGACAGTAAGTGTACTAGACTGTATGCCAGTATAGAACCGGATCTTGCCTTGTCCACGTACCAATTGGACATCAGATTGGTAAATACCAATTCATACCAACTGATGTGGTTGGAATTAAAATTCTTGGTTTCAATTAAAACTCCTTTTTCACCGTCTTTTCTTTAACTACCACATCTTCACTTAAGGGTTTTTTTTTTCCCAAAATCTGACCAGCCATATGTTCTAGTGTAAAGTAGCCAAACAGCCAAGCATCCATAAGAATAGGATTTCCATACATTTTCATCTGGATGCTCTTGACTTGAAGAGATCAATTTATTTCATTTTTCTACTTAAACATTTTGTTGATTGAGCTTTATAATCTTCAACATTCTTATCTAAAGATAAGTAAAAAGAACTCGATAGAATTTATTTTATTTTTCTACTTAAACATTATCTTGATTGAGCTTTATAATATTCAGCATTCTTATTTAAAGATAAGTAAAAAGAACTCAATAGAATTAAGTTGAAGTTAAATTGCCAGAGAACTCGACAAGTTGCCATTATATCTTCTTCTTAATATTTTAGCTGAAATCCTTTTCGCCAGCTGATGAAGCAGAATAGTGCTGATTATTGCTCAATTTTGATCAGTTCTTTCTATGTTTCATGTATTCTTGAGCACCTCTTTAAATTGTAGGTAAAATATTTTAATACATGTGCTCAATGAGAAGATATTTCAGTGATATTTGGGTAGCATGCAGCATAAAATCATACTTATTTTGTATGGTATACATTCCGTAAGTTTCTTGCATATGTCATTTGTAAACCTGATTCTTTTTCTCTGC